TCCTCACAAAACTCCACGATACCATAAAAACCCAGAAACCCACATCTGAGAGAAACACAGCAGTCAGTACTACGTACTTAAAAGACAATATTGATCGAATTATTGATTAATCAAAAACAATATGATCAGATTATTGATTGAGTAGTGACTCACTGTGGAGACGAGAGCGACCTGCCAGTCTTCCAGACGCCACTCACAGCGAATCTCAGGAGAAACTACGGCCAACAGCATAATCTCCATCGCTTCCACTATCTGCATATGTGAATATTCACTGAACTTATTGATCTTATGAGAAGGAATTATTTGTTTCTGATTATTGATGTGAACAGTTTCTTACGTTGGAGCTCCCCATGATGACGAACAGAGGATGTGAAAGGCGATCCGAAGCCGATTTGTTTCCACGGCTTCTTCCACATGTGAAACGTCTCATTCTTCTGCAGAACACACGGTCTTATTCATTCATTCATTCATTCATTCATGTCTGTCTCATTATTTTAACATATAAAAGAATATTAATGTAAATCATTAACTGTAATCAGCTTCAGCTCAAAGCATCAGACTTTAGAACAAACTGCAGCTTTTAAATAAAGTTTCATTTAAAGGCTGATTTCTTTTCTTTTCAGTCTATTTAAAAGTGTCTGATTATTGAAGAGGCTCTGTGAGATGCTGCTGCCATCTGGTGGTGGGATGCAGAACAACAGAGACCTCAACCAGGTGTTTCTAAGGCCCGGGGTCGGTTCAAAAGTCTTTTCTGCTCCAATACTGAAGTATTTGAGTGGCGGCCATGATAAGAGCTGAGTTCTCCTTTAACAGATGAAACTCTGGACCATCTTTTAAATACCAAAGGAGATAATGCCGTCCCACAATTCCTTGTGGCAGCAACATTTAAAAGAAGCCGGATGAAAATAAAATTATCATAAATAAACATTAATGATGAAAAACAAATAAAACAGGTTAAGACCTAAACAAAGATGCATTCAGTCACTTTGCTACAGTACAGATGGTGTTAGTGCACTTTATCTTAATCTTTATTTATTCAGGGAAGGTTCAGAAAGAGGAACGCCCTGATCACATTCACACTGTTACACATTCACACCAGGAAGCTGCCCAGTACAACCAGTCTGATCCACTGGAGGGTTCTTTTATTAGTTTATTTTACAGCATTTGGTGCTTCAGCTGCAGGAATATTATTATTAATTTTTACAGTGTAGAATTCATGTTTTGAATTTTCAACAACATGTTAAACTCATTAACACTCCTGCTGCAAAATCTACTTAATATGAAGCTTTGTGACGCACTTTGTATAAACATTATTATATTAAAACGATCAGAGTGAGGTTCATACGTCGTAGTGTAACGTAGCATTAGCATTAGGTATTCCTCAGTTTGAGCTTTATTGTGTTGTAATCTTAATAAATATTATTTAAATATTTGAGTTGATCTTCAGTCACAGAAGCTGCAGCAGGTAACTTTTATAAAAATAACTTTTTGTCATATTTGCTGAAACCTTTAGTCAAATAAATCAGGAAGTTTAAATAAAACAGATTATTATTAACACACTTAGTGAGGTCCACCTCCAGTCTCTCTGCAGCTTATTGATTATTGATTATTGACTAACCGCGGCTGTTGTTGTTGTTCTCGCAGTCCTGCGGTTTGTCTGCAGGCTTCTCCTGCAGTTCCACCTCCTGCAGGTGGATGGCGCTCACCAGCTGAGTCTTCATACCATCAGCCATCCTAGAAACACAAGCACAGCGGCCCCTCTGAAACCAGATCACACAGATACATTTCTCAGCATCATTATCGATCTATTGATTTACACTGCTGTTATATATTTTTCTATATATGTTGTTGTTTAATGCACATTTTTAAAATTCTTATTCTCTATTTTTATTGTGTCTGAGTCTGTAAAGGAAATTTGTTAATAAAACTGAAAATGACTGATACATTATAGGATAAAACTGTTTATATATTTCTTATTTGTTGGTTCTAAATGTGTTTGTTCTTTAATTAAATTAAAACTTAAAACATAAAAAAAGACATTTTTTTAAATTCCAGAACTTTTTATTTTGAACTCTCGATCGAAAGCCAGTTTCAGAGACTTGACCGATTTTGGGTTTAACTGGTTCAACTGGTTTTCAAAGTAAAATAATTCTGTTATTAAATGTTTAACCTGACAAATACTGTCAGTGGTTTAAGTCAATCAATAGTCTCCACAAACACAAAAAAAAGGATCTTATTTTTTATCAAAGAGACTCATAAACTCTAAGTTTTTCAGTATCAGTTGAGCCTGGATTCGCAGCAGATTCCTGGAATCCTACAGGTCGGATGGAGATCATGTTACACCAAACTCCGTTCAAAAATCCACCAATTTAACGAACTCGCTTGTCAGCAATTGTGGCTGTAAATGCTCATACCGTCGGAACTTTTAATAAGCAACCAACTCAAATATCTAACGGTCCGAGAAGTGTTAGTGATTTAAAGAAATCAGGACGTTTGTACAGCGAACAACAGTTTGTTTGTTTAGCCTGCTTCCAATGAAAACTGGTTCACATAACTAGATTTTACTGACCTCGAGTGTTTGAATGAAGGCCGAATTCACCAGAACACGCTTTTAATAAATCTTAATTTCTTTCTGGCGTTTTTGTGAATCTTCACAGCCTACATCAGGAAGAAAACCTTAAACCACAAGATTTTTAAACGGGGTTGGCAGAAAGTGTTCTTCAGGTACTCCGGGGGAAAAGCCGAGCAGTAAAGTTGAAATATCGCCCATAAACTCGGATTTATTGAAGAGATCAATAAACGTCCGGCTGCGATCGATTAAAAAGATGTCTTTGTCATTAGTGAATAGATGTACTTACACTATAGTCTGTGTGTTCTCATGCTAAAGGAGGTTTTAATGTGACACACTGTCTCTTTACTCGGTGCTGTTGTTGTTCACCTGGCCAGGTGTATCAGGAAGTGTCACAGTCATCGTCATCAGGGAACCGGCGAGAGGGGGGAGGGAGCTGTTTTTAGACTGGGAGAAGTTCAACTAATTTAATACACGGATTATAAATATATGGAGGCCTATTAATACCATTAAAGAAGAAAAATAGAAAAAACTTATAAATTAATAATTAATTTAAGTTTTTGTTTTTTTTTCATCTTTGAAAAGTTGTTTTTTTTTACAGGTTGGGAAAATGTAAACTTATGTTAAAAAAAACTTCAAAAGAAAAAATAACTAATTGAGGTCTTATATTATTTTTTTATATATTTGTTTCCTTGTTACTGTGTTTTGGTTGATATAAATCAGTTATGACATCTTAGAAATCATAATGTTTTTTATGTTTTTCTACATTTTTTGAGAATAAAGTCAAAACAATAAAATTATACAAAGAGAAAAAAAGTTGCTACATTTACTATTTTAATAGATTTGTTTTTCTAAAAACATTGAGACTTTTGAGAAAATTTTACAAAATATAGCAATTTTAGTTTGTATTTTTAATTTGTTCACAGTGCATTTAGCTTGTTTCAGTGTTAGCTTTAATTGTTTTATTAAAATATGGGGTCATTTGTGAGAGTCACAGTGTCACAAATGCTTCCTCGTGCTTGTTGTGTCGACAAAATTGATAAAAACTAAAAGGCGTTGGATGCATATTTTTAATTATATTTTAGTTTGTTTTACAATATTGTCTCAGCTTTAGTTTTTCCAAAATCTAGTTTTTAGTTCAGTTAAATAAAATGTCTTTAGTGAACTATAATAACCCCTCTTCCTAAAATATTTGTTTTTGAGATATTATGATTTTATTCTGAAAATATTCTCTGTAATACATAATGTACTGTTGACTCTTCATAATTCTGATTTGATTTTAAATATGATGAAGCAGTTTGTGTTTAATATGTTTCCATATAAAGTCTGATGTGTGTTTACTGGGAGTGTGATGTTATCCCCAAGAGGAAGGATTAGATTAGATTAAAGGATCAGACGCATCCTCAGTTGCTAAATATCAGTTTTAAAAGCAGCACCTGTTTCTGTTTGAACCACAGAATCACAATAAACGATAGAACATCGGCTGAATTTGAACACATCTCTTTAATGTTTGTTAACACAATCTTTCAGACACCACAGGATGCAGCTCACACAGAGTCCTGTCATGTGACACATCAGCTGAAGACTCACCTGGCTGCTGTTGAACAGGTGAGGCTGCTGGCAGTGTTCCCGCGTCATTGATTTGACATTAAAATAACATTTTTCCTTCAGGCTCCGTCTCCTCGAAGCAGCTTCCCCGAGTCACCACATCGGCACCTGGTCTGGGTTTGAACTCAGAGAAGCTGCTTGTTGGAGTCCAGAGAGGATCAACAGGAATGTGGTTCGACCCAGAGCAGCACCTGTACGGAAGTTCGTTCATGACAAAACTAATGACTCAAACTGTCTGAAGAGTAAATCTGAAATCACACAGCTGATCAGTGAGAACAGAACTCGTTCCTAAAATACAGAACACAGCGTAATAGTGAGGCTAGAACCGCTGATCCAGATCAGATATCAAGATACAGATCACATTACAGAAAACGTCTCAAGATTGGATGTTTAATTTTAAGAGCAAAGGAAAATAACTTTTGCAAACGTTATAATTTGTGTGGAGAAGTTTACATATATTGTTTAACAAGTACACGAGTTACTGTTTACTGGATACAACAAGATGCATAACTTGTTCCCACAATTAATTATCTTGTTTGTAAAAGTTAATATCCGGTTCACACAAGTTAAAATGTTACACGTGATGTTTTAGTTAGTATCTTGTTCAAACGTTAGCTACTATCACTTTTGTGCAAGAGTTAATATCGTGTTCTCACACGTTAGTATTTTGGTTTCACAAGTTCACATTAGAGGAATAACCTTTCAGGACTGTACATGTTAGTACCGGGTGAGTCCACTGTGAATCAGTAGTTTTGTCACAAGTAAACATCCACAGTGCGATTTGTCGTCGGCTGGATTCTCACTGAGGATCACAGATCTAGAAAACACAGAAACTCTGAAAGTATAGAAAACATTGAAGGAAACATTCAGGAGCAGTTTGTGAAACCTGCAGAGCAGCAGCTTGAGTTTGATACGAGAAGATGAACTTCTCTTTTCAATCACGACACCTGCAGGGTTTCTATTTTTTTTTCCGTGTGTGATCTGATGACTTTCAGACACACCTTGAGTCATTGAATTAGCACCATGTGATCCTGTAGTGTGGCCAAGTCCTACAGTTTGACTGACAGGTGCTAGGTCCAATCAGAAGGTCTCCAGCCGGTGAAGAGTTCTGCGATTCGTTTCTGGTCCATGAAGATGTGTTGGCACTGTTGCCGGGCAAATCTTTGAGTCCGTTCAGCAGAGCAATCAGAGATAAAATATTTTCTATATATTATGTTTTCTATTAAACACCATATCCACTTTCATTTATACACTGTTTACTGTAACCATCTTTATTTAGATTAAAAAATATCTTTTGGAAATGCAAAACAAAAAAACATCTGATTTTTTTCTACTGTGTTTGGATGAACGGTGGTTTTATGGCACTCTTTGCTCACTCTTAACTTTATGTGGAACAACTCTTTACTTATTTAAATTTTGTTTTAAACATCTTTTAGCCGCATGCTGAACATTAACTGGAACATCACGAGTAGCTAAAGCCTCAAACTTAGTCAAACATGCTGAAGAAGAGCAGAGAGCAGACGAACAAACCCTCTCATACCCTGTGGAACCAAGTTTTTACGAGCGACCGACTTCTTCACAACACTACAGAGAAAACAGCCAACCAGCAGAGAGAGCAACCAGTCATTCGGTTCTACAACCAGCACATGAAGATAGTTTTCATCCAACATAGAAAAATACATGTCCTTACCCCACCTAACCCTATACATCCTGCATCGAATACTGATGTCAGCATCTCTTAGAGCCATTCAGAAAAATACTAGGATTACAGGATTATCACAGGATGAGGAACTTGAATCATCCTCTCCATGGAAATTACTGAGGTCTTAAGTAATGTCTCTGAGCATATTTCATCCTCTGAAGTTCATGTGGGCTCAGTCCACAAGAATGAAGCCTGTACATTTGGATTTAAAAGCTAAAACCTGACTAAAACATCCCAGCAGCTTCCTCAACATTTATTTTTACCTTCATACACTGAAGGATCCATTATCAAACTGTAAATGGACAAAGACACAGTCGAGTCTGAACTGAGTCTAAAATGTTCTATGAAGGCCACCGTACAAAGAATAAACAGTAACAACATCCCACTGACGCCACCATCAGGTCAAACATGTTCCTTCACTGTTAATAAGCAACAAAGCTGGATAATGGACCAGGCCTTTGGGGCCGGTTCCACCAGAGCCTCAGAAGGACCTTCGGTGCAAATCGTGCACACTGACCACTCTGGCCCCTTCAGCACCTACAGTGTGAGGGTTTCTGGGCCCTTCGTGCTTACCACCAGCGGCCCCGGGTGCTTACAGTGTGAGTTGAACACTAGGGCCCCCAGGCCACTCGGTGAATACATTGAGCATAATATTACGCACCAAAGAAAAGTTTTTTTCTGATTTTCAATACAATAACCGTCTCAGAAACTATTGCGGTTTCAAGGTGTCACACAAGTATTTTTATTGTGGTTTTTGGAATGAACAAAAGCTTTATTATAATATCACAAAATGTTATCTATATTTTGTAACAATAATACAGTATAATTCAATACTGAGGCCTCCAAAAAACATGATAGTAAGAATAGAGATGTTTTTCATCAGTTTTCTGTTGCATAACAGACATAACCTCACAGGGAACTAATGAGGCAGCCATTGTTAATAATTTCTCATCTGTGCTATGGTGTGCCTCAAGGTTCTGCCCTGGGTCCTTTTTTGTTTGCATCACTACCATTAATAAGAAGTAGTTTTAAGGTTATCTCCTATCACTGCTACAGTTATGACATTCAGTTAGTGGTAAGAATGTGTTTTATTGTGTGCAAGTGTTGTGTCTGATTTTAGCTTTAATTTCTGGTTGTGATGAATGACTGGTTTACCATCTCTGCCCCGTACAGAAACAACTGCCACGTGATAAACTCATCTATAGCGTTCTGCCCACAAATTGATGGATGTTAACAAATCAGCGATGAAAAAACGTTATATTAAAGCGATGCATTAGCAGTTTTTTTTTCATTGCCACCGATACATGAACACACGAGCGAGCAGCTACGATAAGCAACGTCTCCACAGAGAAACAAGCGCCGGCTCAAAATGTACAGCGAGCTCAAACACAAGAGGAATACAACCATAGAACAGTAGTTTGGTCTTTTTTTTGTTTAAAATAAACGATTTAAAGTATACTTTCATATATAAGCAATAAAAAATAAGTAACATCTCAATACTCCAATAATAACTCTTACATTAATATTGTGCTCATTGGTATTCTATCTCTTTACAGATATTTATATTAATTCTTATAGATATTTATATATAATTTTTTCCTGTTTTGCGTCCCCTTGTCGAAGGAACTGTACGCCACCTCCAGCTGTCCTCAGTGCAAAGACCTCATTGATATGGTTTATGAACAGAGACCTGATCTCTGTGGCTGATGGGAGTGTGGAAGGCAATAAGTGGTCAATGAGTAGATGATATGAGGCTGACGGTTAGCACCACAGAAGGTCCAGAGCGACGATCTGCTTTAGAACTTCGGGAGGGATCATCGACTCCAGAAGGTCAGGAGGAACCATCCACTTGGAAGGTCAGGAGCAACCGTCTACTCCAGGACGATCCACCCAGAAGATCAGAAGGGATGACTTGCTTCAGAAGTTCCAAAGGGACCATCCACTTCAGAACTCCAGAAAGGATCATCCACTCTGGAAGGTAAGGAGAGATGATCCACTCCAGAAGGGTCAGGGGCGTCGATTTTCTCCAGAAGTTCAAGAGGGATGAAATGCCCAAGCAGGTCTGGAGGGACCATTCGCTCTAGACGGTCGAGAGGGACCATCTGCTCCAGAGGATCTGGAGGGACCATCTCCTCCAGAGGATCTGGAGGGACCATCAGCTCAAGAATGTCGGGAAGGACCATCCAACTCCAGATGATCACGGGGGAGGATCCATTTCAGAAGGTCAGGAAGGGACAATCCAGTCCAGATTTTCAGGAATGAATTGTCACTCCAGAAGTTGAAGAAGGATGATCATTGAATGATCAACTCCAGGAAGCACTTCAGTCAAAACGTGAAGAATCAAACTCCTGTCCAATAAACACTGAGCTGAAGGATGACGGACAGACAGACAGGACCCTGTAAAGAACCGGAGGTCTTTTATGTCCTTTTTTTTTTCAGACGTGGATTGTGGTCCAGAGTTATTTTGGATTAGCGGCACAGATGTAGATTAGCTCAAGAGAGTCCAGAGTGTAGATCAGTCAGTTTTATGGTTTTAATCCAGTCCTTACTGGCTCTGAGTGGTTTAAAACAATAACCAGCTGAGTCCTGATACAAACCAGTCTAAGGGTAGCTGGTCACTGCAGCCTGTTTCTGGGCCAGACGTCGCAGCTCCTCCCTGATAGCCTTTATAAGGGAAGCTGAGGTGTGGGCGGAGGGTGAGGCGTCGTCCGGCGGGTACTCTGGTGTCGGTGAAGTCAGGAGGAGAGGCGGAGCCGACGGGTCCCGCAATGAGGAGCTGGGCATCTGGAAAACAGAGGAAGAGGAGAACTCAGGAAATGACAGCACCTGTAGGGAGAAGGGAGAGAAGGTGAGGAGAGTAAGGCCAAGAAAATAAATCCAGATAAAAGACATGTAAAGAAAATTAATGTCAGTGGTTATTTGTATTGCCTTGTTGCACTCATAACATAAAAAAAACTGAACATAAAAATCTTGAGGGTCAGATGGTCTCGAGGCAAAAACTGGTCTTGACTTGTCTCAGATGGTATAGACTGGACTGGCCAGCTCTGCTCTGCACTGGTCCAGACTAATTTGGATAGGATTCATCTAGACAGGTTAGGACTTGTCTAGACTGGACTGGTCTGGGCAGGCAATCCCTTCGGGATTTCACAGGGATTTTTGGGATTACTGCAGCCTATAATTCCTGACTTCACTGCAGTTTTCTTAAAAATTGTGATGAATTTGTGATTTTGTGCGATGAAATAACGGAACAAAGGGAACTTTCTCTGGTGAGAATAAAATTGCTAGTAGTTTGACTACAATGAATTGTTTAATTAAATTTTTTGCGGTGATTGGACAAAATTGCAAGGTTGTGTACAATTCATGGAGAACTTCCTGGAGGGTCTGGTCAGGACTGGTCTGAACATTTTTGGGTAACACTGGTCTTTTCAGGACAGGTCTGAAACAGACAGGTCAGGCCTGGACTGGTTTGAACTACATCACCATAGCTCTTGTTGCTACGCTGGGGAGTAAAGAATGAAAGACGTTCGGCCAAGTTTAGTTTGATTTTGCTATTCCACACAGTGAACTCACACTCTCTCTGCTGGCTCCAGGTCTGGACAGATCCTGGTCTGAGTGCTGCTGGTTCCAGCTGGTGCCTGTGGGTCCCGACATACTCCGACCCACCCCAGGGTAGGCACCAATCTGGCTCGACAAACCCACCTGGGTCAAGTGGTGGAGCTGTGCACCTGGAGGTTAACAAATGTAAAGGATACCATGCAAGTAAAATGAAGTTAAAATCAGCACTGCATGTGATCAATACATCCAAATGATCGTACCTGTGCTGCCCCCTACAGGTCGTGGTCTGGACGATGAGGGGGGGTCCTCGTACTGTCCCCTGCTGGAGTAAACCGACTCCTGCAGTTGGTCTCCAGTAGAAACATACCCTCCTGAGGTCAGGCCCTGCCTGGATAAAACACACAGGGCATCAGTACTGATGCTTACTCCAGCTTACAGACCTGGACCTGGTTTTAAGTGCACTGACACTGACCTCTGCAACAGGCCCTGGACTGATGTGGGAGACATCCCCAGCTCTACGTACCTCTGCAGAAAGGGAGAGAATAAGAAAATGAAAACATGAACATGAAGTCATGCTGAACAAATGGCCTCAGCTGCAGGATGACACACTCACTGCAGAAAAGGGGCTGTGAGAGGGGGCTGCTGGGTAAGAGCCCCACTGCCTGCCTGGGGGGCGGGCCTGTGGGGAGGGGCTGGGCAGGGCAGGGCTTACCCCGCTCACCCCGGCGCTGCCCTGTGAGGACGGCGACACCAGGGCGAAGGCGTCATCCAGGAGGGAGTGCATCTGCTGCCGCGCCTCCTCGATGGAAGGCTGGGGGGGCATGTGCTAGGGTTGGTGGGGGCTGGGGCGGGGTCAAACACCTCGTCAGTAGGGGAGGGGCTGCCGTGGTCTGGGGGCAGGTCAGGGTCCGACTATATGAAAGCGGAGAGAGAGAATACAAAATAAATGTTCAGTTTAGTTTTCAATTGAGCACTATAATGTAAACCTTTATGCTGATGATACTTTCTTGTATCCATTGGGGCTACCTCACATCAGTCCTGTTTTTGATTATCTCCAGACAACTTATATCTATTTAAATGTATCATATATGTCTCTAGAAAGAAAAACAGATGACATTGGTCCAAGATGTCAGGGCTAGGTAGACAAATGCTTCCTGTAGAACAGTTGTCTTACCATGTAGGCCACGTTGTTGAGTCCTGGGTATTTCCTGTAGGTGGCACTCTGGTCGGTGAGCAGCCGGTCTCTGTCCGTATCAGGAAGACTTCCAGGTCCTGGCTGAGCCCGCCGACCCCGAGGAGAGCGCCTCCCTCTGGACGTACAAACACACATAAATAGAAAATGTGTTTCATTGTGAATGTGGTGTTTTAGAGTCTCCTCAGGTATCAATTTTCATAATCAGAAGTTCATATTTACACAGTTTTATTGTCTTAATAATATTAATCAGTTAATAAATAAATATAGTAAATAATAAAAGTTAATTCTCCAATCAGCTCAGGCTTTCCCAAGTCTGACCTTCTCCTGGAGTCGGTGGGGGTGGGGGGTGAGGCAGCGTCGGCCTGCAGGATGCAGTCCATGTGGTCATGGGCGGAGCTGTAGAGACGCTGCGCCACATCGCCCTGCACTGGCCCGTCTCCAAACGCGTCCATGATGTCGTCCATAGAGGGAAACTCACACTGCCCCCGCCTCTTGGCACGCTGCCGCAGTTTGTTCCTGTGGTGCTCGATCTCCGACTTGTGTCTCAGCGCCACCTGCAGGAGTACAGGAAGGTCAGCGATGTACGAAACATCCTCATGGTAAGCAGCCAGGGTGCGACTCACCTCTGTGTTGACCTTCTCGGTGAGGGTGGGGCTCGGCTGGGAATGGGCGTGTGGAGGGCTCGGTCGCGGCTGCATGGCGATCAGCTGTACCTTGTTGGCCTGGCGTCGGGTGCCATCGGACGAGCCGCGTGACAGACGGTCGACGTGGTCGAAGATGGAGGACGAAGAGAGAAGTTCGTCTGGACCGCTGCCTGATGGGACAAACAAACGTAGAATGGTCAGATCCTGATTGTCCAATCCGTGATTTTACTGTGTTGGACATCTACTTCCTGTCTGTCTGTCCTGTATGTGTATTTAAGAGATTGATTTAGCTGTCAGATGTTCCACTTTGGTCACAAGTTTCAAACTGCGTCTGCAGAGTTAAAAGCATCTGATCAACTGTTGATCTAAAATATTGATCAGAGTATGAAGGTATAAACGTACCCATCTTGCTCCTCCCTTCAGTCCAGAAGCATTAAAAAGAAAAGAGATGATGAATGTTAGAACAGAAGCTTTATTTTCCTCATCCATCGCTCCTCCTCTACCTCCTCTGCTTCCTCTCACATTTAAATCTCTTCACACACACACACACACATCAAACACTCTGACCATTTTTGGGCGTCTTCCTGTGCTGTTTCCCTTCACTGGGCGTGGCCACTGGTCGAGTGCTTTCTTCTGCTGATTCTCTGCCGCTCGATTGGTCGCTGCCCAGCGAGTCGCCGTCTGACGGGCTGAGCCTGACAGACGAGAGGACAAGATTAATTTTTGTGACAATAAAGTTTTATCTTCTTTCTGACATCATTTGAAGGCGTGTCAGTAAAGTTGTGAGTCAAGTGACATCATACTTCCAACAAGCCAATTAAGTTTTAAATTAAGTTTCTTGAAATTTAAGAAATTAAATATTTTAAGAAAGTGAGGACATTTTTAAATAGTTTTGAAACAAGATGGAGATTTTCGGAAACATGTATATATTTATACATTGTGAGGTTTGAAAAGATTAATATTTTGAACAATTTTGAATGGATCCGCGTACAGATTGTTGATGTCTGACCTGCCCCTGCGGCGGCTGGATCGTGCCACCTTGGTGGATGATCCTTTAGATTTGGGCGTGTTGAGGTCTCCACCATCAGAGGGCGTGGCCTCTTTGATGGGGGCGGGCAGTGGGCCAGGCTCCTGGATCACCATGATGTCATCTTTACTGTGCTGCCCGAGGTGGAGCTTCGCAAAGTCGAAGCCTTTCACGCTGGGAGCCTGGAGCTGAGAGGGGATCAGCTGTTAGTACAAATTAATACGACAGGAAAGAAAGAAAACAGCTTCCTGGTGAACTCTGACCTTCTGCCTCTGCTGGATGGTGTTGATGGCGTCTGGCTGGAACTCGAGCTTCTCTGAGCCGCACAGCTTCCAGTAGAGGATGATGATGATGAAGACAGCCAGCAAGACGGGGACGACCACGCCGACAATCAGCCAGATACTGCTGCTCTGAGTTTCCGCTGGAGGGATAGATAGAGTCTCTACAGCTGGAGACAGGTGAGAGACATGTGAGACAGGTGAAAGTAAAACATTTAAATTGTTACTTTTGCTGCCAGCTCTACCGGTTGATGTGAAATGCATGCTGGGATATTTCTCTACCCAATAAAACACAAGCACATATAGCAAAAAATTTCTGGGAAACTTCCAAACTTTACAAATATTAAATCTTCATGGTTTAAATTCTTATTTACAAGAGTAACTGAACCTGTCTGCAGTCTTGTATAATGGAGATCTATGGGGAAATTATTTTAGGTGCAATACCACCAGTGACCAGTGAGTGAGTGGAGGCGCTGCATCACCTCTATTACTACATCCACAGCTGACACACACAAGTTAGCTCCCAAAGCATCCTGGGATCCAGTTCAGAGTTCAGTGACAGTTTATGGTCTGTGTTCTGAGCAGATTCAGGTCTTGACTCACGTTGGGCAAGCGGTCTCTGGACTCGGTGTCCGAGGACGATGGCGGCTCTCTGAAGGTCCAGGCGGTTCAGGGTGGCCGCGGTCGCCTCGGCCGGGATCCGCTCACCACCTGGACCCTCCACGAAATAAAAGACCTCCAGGGGGCGCTCCGGACCTGACAGCTTCGACACCCGAACCACCTGAGACACAACAAGTTGACATTTTAGAAAGAATTCTGACACTGTGCAGGTGTGCTGATGTATATACCTGATGTGTTATCTGTGTATACCTCTATGATCTGTGTATACCTGTGTGGTTTACAGTACATACCTGCAGACTGTTGTTGCCCACAGCTGTAGCTCTCTTCAAGCGCCTCCTGCTGGACGTCTGTAGTCCCTCCTCCAGCAGCAGAGCCAGACGTCTCTCCAGACGAGCTTTAAAACTCCTCTCAGCCACCAACTGCTCCTGAACTCCCAACAGGACTGATACAACACAGACATAAACATATGGAACTATTCAGCAATATTCTCTATTTCAGAATATCTGCATTTGTCCCAATGCAACGGGGAAAAAAAATAACAAATTCAAACACAACTGCAACAGTTTGCAACAAGCAGAGATGTGTTCTCACCTGTACGGACCCAGGTGGATCGCAGGTGGTGAGACGTGTTCAGCTCAGGGTAGTGGAAAGCTGTGAACATTCATACACAAACATATATTTAACACACATTTAATATTTTTGACACACATTTAACATATGTCTAAGAACCGTTTAGCATAAATTAAACACTCCTCACAAATGTTCTACATTTTTAACAAACGAACAAACATTGATGAGAACATTTGTTAACATACGGGCGTATAAACAATGTACGAGTGTGTGTGTGTCGTACGTTCTGCGATCTGCTGGGCAGGAAAACCGATGTAGAAGCTGAACTCGACCAGGCTGAGCTTCCTCAGGTGTTCGCTGACCTCTGACCCAGGCAGGTAGTCCCGCCCATCACGCACTGCAAAGGTGATGTCGATGGATACCTTCTGCTCCACCGCTGGCCGATTAACGGCCATGGTGATGTTCAACAGCTGGAGACACGCAGAGATAACTTGAAGGGTTTTTTAAACTGATTTTTGAAGCCAGGTGGTTATTAGCAAGGATATTCTTTATCGTTACATTTAGATTTTTTAATGTACAGGTAACAGACTTACCTGTACTGTGACGTTTCCCGCTTCATGTAATCGTCTCCGTGTCTCGGCGTATGCCATCATCAGGCCTCTCTCCACCCGTTCGCTGAAGTTACAAACTCTGACGTCGACATGGGTGGGGACAAACTGCAGCACAGAGTGGATCTGGTACCTGAGGTCAGGTATGGTGTAGAGCGGTGACACGGTGGGAACAGGACCAAAGCTGCGTGGTGGTTGGCGGAGGGCGTTGATGACTGAGATGGCGGTGAAGATCATTGGCCCCGACACAACTCGGAAAGCAAAACTAGATGGAGTTCTCAGGAACTGATAAGGAAGCAGAGCAGTGACAGACAGCTGTCAAGCATCTGACATCATCAAGGTGAGTTCAAGGTGTGTTTTTGGTGGTGGTGATTGTGGAGGAGGTGGTGATTGTGGTGGAGGAGATGGTATTTGTGGTTGAGGAGGTGGTATATTTGGTGGAGGAGTTGGTGATTGTGGTGAAGGAGGTGGTTTTTGTGGTGGAGGAGGTGATGATTGTGGTGAAGAAGGTGGTGATTATGGAGGAGGTGGTGTTTGTGGTGCAGGAGGTGGTTTTTGTGGTGGAGGATGTTGTGATTGTGGAAGAGGAGGAGGTTTTTGTGTGGAGGAGATGGTATTCGAGGAAATTGTGTTTCTACCTGGAGCTCCACTGAACGGTTGAACTCCCTCTTCAGAAGATCTCTGACTTGAGTGAAACCTGCTGACGAACCTTTTGAATTGACTGCAGGAGATAAAAAGACACAGATCAGCTGACTGACCCTGTTATGGCGGTTCAGCAGTACCTGATGTTCCTGTCACATGACCCTCTGTGGTCTTACCTACTCTGACCAGGTACATCTCTGGTTTGGTGACGTTACACAGGTACTGTCTGGTGGGCGGGGTCTGGGCCACTCTGGGCGTAGTGACTGGAGGGGCTCTGGTCAGGCTGATGGCTGTGATCTGGGTGGTGGTGGTGATGGCAGTAGTGGTGGTTGTGGCCTTGGTGGTGGTGGTGGTGGTCCTGGTGGTTGGAACCTTTGCTGGTTTCTCTATGACCACTGGAGGCCTCTCCGGTCTGTCGGGGCGGGTGGGTGGTCCCAGCGGTGGAGGGGGAGGCACCCGGCCGGTGGTGTTGGAAGGGGGACGAAAAGGGTGTCTGCCCGGGACTGGGACATGGTCTTTGGGTTTTGGAGCAGGAGGAGAAAAGGTGGATGGGGTTCTGATGGTGGTTGACTTCTCCTCACCTGTGAGAGTGGGTGAGAGGGTGAGGGGAGGGGTGGGTCCCGATGGGGGATGCTTAGACTCCTGTCCTGGAGGATGACCAAAGCTTGGTGGTGGAGGGGAACGGTGGGTTTGGGTTGTTGTGGGAGTGATGGGGGGTTTGGAGTCAGTCCGGTGGACAAGGTCCTGGTCTCTCTCCCTCTCTCGCTCCTTCTCTCTTTCCCTCTCTCTCTCTCTCTCCCGGGCTAACAGGTTCGTGTAGTACTCCAGACTGTTCATGTCCGGCAGTAGCAGCTCCGTCGGCTCCAGAGGCATCATGTCCTCCAGGTCGTAGTCTTCATCCCAGGTGGGGAAGACGTCTGGATGGGTGGGGCGAGTGTGCAGGGGGATGCTGGGGGTAGATGAGGATGGTGAAAGGGGTAGGCGGGAGGAGAGGGG